CATTCGCCGCCATCGCGACCGAAAAAGAAAGCCATTGCAGGGACACCGACGCGTATATTGCATTCCATCGGGTTTTCCTCTCAAGGTCAGATAGCCCACCGTTCGGATTCAATATGAGCCACCTCGCGTCTTTAATGCCTTCTCGAGCACCGGGGCTCGCACATACCTGGCAGCGGTTCTCATCGTTTTCACGTAACGAGATCGCCCGCCCGGTTTGTGAACGACGCGACACTTCTCGATCGCATGAATTTCTCTGTCTGATAATCCGATCGATCCCGAGTTCCAGACGTACGTAACGGAATTATTTCGGGAACGAGCGGAACTAATTTCGAGATCAAACATGCATTCCAACCATGTCATCAACGATAATGAAGTCTATAATTTTTACAAACAAACGTGACAAGTTGAACTCTGTACATCGTACGAGATCTCGAAACTTTGTCTTCAATTTCTTCGATCAGCGTATCGTTAATTCGAATTGAACGACGCTGATCTTCATTCGTTGCGCCGACAGGAAGGCGGATCGGAACGCGACAAGGGAGATCAATAATGGCCAACGCAATCGAAACGGCGACGGTTGGCGTCCGCCGCCGGCTGGCAACCGGCTGGAATTTCCTATCGCACGTCTGCATGTTCCAGAACGTTCCACGATCGTCCGTACAACCTCTTCGCTCCGAATCGATGGATCGGCGGCTGCCGGAATTTGAAATTTCCGATGACTGTCAACCGCTGTTTAGCGGACGCGACGAAAAAAGGACGGCCTCCGTCGTCGTCTCGAGACACGAGCCTTTACATCGGTAAAGGCAGACGTTAGGGCACAGCCACATACACGACGCACACGCTTGCCGGAAAGTGTGTGTGTGTAGAGATCGCAGTTACCGTGAGTCTTGGGGTAGGGCAGTGGAAATTTCCACTGGGTTGCCCCCGCTGGGACGGTCAATACTCTCTCTCTCCGTGCCGTAACGCGCGCCGCAACGACGGTCTGGATTACAGGGTGTTTCAGACACGACCGGCACGTATCGCCGCACCGTTACGGTTTCCCGCCTACGGGGGAATCCCCGATAGGAGGTCTGTGGATTTTTCGATCAGCCTGATTCCGAGACCGAGACCACAACGAAGCCATGAACGCGCGTCCGACTGTAACGAGATTACTCGCGAAACCTTAATTCCGCTCTCGCGACGGAACTGTAGAATATTTCTCTCTAAGACACCTCTGAAATTTCACTTCTTTTATCGATGGAAGAGACATTTATACCGTACGTCCCACAAAATTGTACAGGCGATTATTCTCATGGTCTTAAAATCAAAATTATTAATTTTTTATGTGACGTATTCTTTTTATCTTAATTATATTTTATATATGTTTAATTTTATATATGTTTTAGAGATGCACTCTTGTATTATTAGCTGATATAAATGCTATTCCGCGTTATATATTCAATCACTTCTTGGCAATGTTTCTTCATACTTGTTACTAAATTTAATATGTGTAATGGCCACCGTATTACTTTTATTCGGAAACAGCTGCTTCAGGATGTGCGCGCATTTATTACGAAGCCTTTTCGTCGTGGAAACCGTGCCCAAAACGATGATTCATCACTGACTACTACATCCGATACCTTCAGTGTCGAGTAATACCTGCCTATCTCTACTTATCGCTTTTCAACATGTCTTTGTGATGGTTTCGGGCATTACAACTTGAAATTCGTAGAAAGTTTCTGATAATTTTGTAAACCACGTAAAAAAAATTTTAAGCCAGCGATTTTCTGTGCAGCAAATCATATTTAATTATTAGAAATAAAATGCATATTAAAATCTATCAATTCATGACCATATTTTAATTGTCGAATAATTTACATGTTTAAATGAGTAACATTAATCGGTCAAAATATTCTCTCGTGAACACGAATACGAGCGGATGAGCGAGGCTGCGAGAGAAGACTTATGCAAGTGTTTCATAAGCTTAGCCACAATCTTGCCTCTACTCAAATATCGAATCCGATCCCAGCACCATCTCGGCGTCACTGCCAGGAATCGGTTCCGGGTCGAGATCGGTAAATTTGACGAGTCGCCCGTGGGATGGTTTTTCACGCCAGGAGAGGAGAGATAGAGGAACGAGAGTACGAGGCGTGACCGACGAGCACGTTATTTCGGCGTGACGCAACGTTACCGTACACGGCGGGATCGACGGTGTATTTTTTGGCAGCCGATATGTTTAAACCGTCGATCGATGTGCCAAATGCTTGCTTTATCGTCCCACCCCACGTGCCGCATAGATCGGGCCAAAGAACGTGGAAATAGCACGCCAGACCTTTTAGCCTTTTAGTCTAGGCTCGGCCAAAGGCCGCGCGGAACAATTCCCAGACGAATTTTCCCCTCTTATGATGATTTCCGATGCGAGATTTCACCATCATCGGTTGTCAGGGCCAACGCGATCTCGATTATAGCTCTAGATTATAGCAGAAGACTTTACGAGCGGCAATTCAGCTTCGATAAACCCACTTTCGACGGCAAGAGGAAGAGGGAATTATCTTAAAAGTGATATCAATATCGACAAACAACCTGTTTCCAGATAACCGACCACTATCACTTTCCAGAAGTTACATTCCAAACAAGACTTTACATGTAAACTGGAAGCTAAAAAAAATTTTATTAAAGCGCGAAATTTTATCACTCGTTTGAACGCACCATGGAAATAATTAATTGAAATGTAACCATTCTTTTCTACACGAGAAAGTATAAAAATACGAGAACGCTGAAAATCCGTTTCTTGGCGTTCTCTCAAATACGCTCAGAAACTATACTCGCTCTTCCGCGTATCAAAATCATATACTACACCGTACATCTAAATTTTATGAGACTTCAGTTACACGTTTCCATTTACATTTCTATTTATCGCGTCTATCTCAGAAATCGAAAATTGAGAGACAGAAGAGGCGTTAACGTTTCTCCGAAGGGAAACGCATCGTAGAATCCAGTTTAACGCCGTGTCTCGTGTACCAAGATTCTCGTTGGATCTCGTCGAATTAATTTTAGAATCCATCTCGTTGTATTTCCGAGGGGAACCCCGTATCTCGTTACGAGTTGCGAGGCGCATACGTCCGTTGCATCCGTCTATCGATCGTCGGGAACCGGCGCGACGGCGGTCGGCGGCATCTTGTGCGCAAAACTTTTCAAAACGGACAAACAGCACCCTCAACAACCCTTGATTGTTAAGGGTCACGGATTAACAAATTGCCTGGCAAACGCCCTAAGTGGTAGCGATTCTGTTAATCGATGACGAATGATACGGCCGCGACACGTCGTATCTACGCGACTGACGTTACGTCACGAAGGTACCCCCTCATCCCCCACTTCGGCACCTTCGATGAATGAAAGGTACGGGGATCAATAGCGGGAAAATTAGACTTCGCGTTCGTTTTAATCCCGCGGAATACTTGGCAACCGTCCCGTCGCCGTTCGCGCGGCTGTTTTAGACAGCGAATGCAGGCCGATGTAACAGAAACGGAGGATGACGGTGTCACATTGCAAATGTCCGCAAGTCCGTTGCGAGCGAGCGTAAGGGCGGGAAAAAACGACGGAATCGTTATTTCAGGAACAGAAGAAGACAATTCGAGTCGGTGGCTGCTCGACAGTTCCGAAAAAGAAAAATTTTTACAAGCCTCGTAAAACTCTTGGCCACTTGCCAACGGCCAATTGTTTGGCGACGCGCGAATTGAGAAATTTCTATGGTAGCGAACCGAATATATTTCTTCTAAAAATATCCGGGCGCTTCGGAATTCCGAGGCCGATTTCTCGCTTTCTCGAGAATACGAAAACGTATTCTTCGCGCGCGCGTAGGCATTAATTACAAATCCATAAAACGCCGTCGTGAAAAACGGTGAGAGACACTGTCGTAAAAGGCAAAGCGCAGTGATGCCGTTGGTATCGGCGACAGAAACTCCACTTGAATGATTCACGCGGCCATTACAGGAACATGACGGTGTAAACATGAGCTATGAGACCAGCGTCAAATGTTCTACTCGCATGAGACGAGCTTGAAGAGACGAGCTCCTTCGTCGCTTCGACATGTGGCGGCAGCTTCCTGCGCGGGAATACCTCTCGACAAAGGTACATACAGCGAATTAACTAACAGCGGCAAGCACTCGTGTAAGATAATTTGGATGCAGCGAGGATCTTTAAATAGCTGTTCTGCAGGGCACACTCTCCTCTTCTTTCAGCCAATTTCTCGCATTCGTGTAGAACGACCAAGGAACGAGGGAACGTGATCCTACTCAGATCTCTCTTTCTCAAATGTTTTTCGAATAAGATTTCTAAGGAAAACAGTTTTTAATTCAAAATTAAATAATCTTAAAAGGAAATTATATAATAGATGAATAATTCTTTTCTTTTTAAATAACGATACAAAACATAAGAAATGTAATTTACAAAACTAAAATTTGTTTAATTTATGTAAGCTTTCTTTAAAAAATGTAAATGTAAAAGAGATTATTCGCTTTGCTTAACAAAAACTGAGTAAGTTTTTCATTATTTCATTTCGAGGAGAGAAAAACATTAATCATCGCTGCTCGTATTATTATGTACGATTGCCAGGCTTCAATTATACAAATGCATAATAATTCAATTGTAAATGAACGGTTGTCCGCAAAGACGTCATCCTAATATTGCTCCTGTCATTCTCACAATTATATACAAAACATTTAACTCAGAGTGCCAATTATTTTTCATGTAAAGCTGCGAGCTATGATTATACGGACAAACGTATTACATGTTCGAAATATAGAAATTTACACAGGAATAGACAGGAAGATACAGGAATAGACAGGATACGATAGAATCTCGATTAGTCAAATTGACTGACACGATATTTACATAATTAATGGTTTCGAATATTCGAACGATCGAGCGATTATATTTTAATTTATAAAAGACAGTTTAATATAGAAACTATTACACTATTATTATATATAATTTAATAAATTTAATAATTCGCATTTTGTCGGATATGAAAAGTATTTTTAAATATTGATCGAACACCCGCAAATGCGTAATTCAGTTGCGATATGATGTCATAACATGCGTTAAACTCTACATGTAAGGTAATAATTATTTGGTTTTGCTTGTTATCTAACAAAGCTGCCACTCACAAAACTGCCTCGTAAATTAACGTGAAATAAATCACACATCTCGACGAAGAGAGCTTTTCGTATGTGACGATAAATTATCTAATGTGACTTACACCAATATTAAACTGAGAACCTTAAGTAGATTAATTTTCATGCATATTCAAAAATCTCATTCACGCAAAAATATAATCGTATTGAGAATGAATTTGCGCAAAAGTAAGAAGTTGCTCTGCAACGGGGCACGTACGATTGCAAAAATATGTCATTCATTTAATCGCGATTGCACAACAAAGATAAACTCTCCTCTTAACATCATTACGTGAGGAAATCGGGTCGCCATGTGCAATTAAGTAAATAAAAACGGGATTAAAATATAAAAAAAATATAAAAGAATTCGCCGATAAAACTTCGAGATAAAACGACAGAAAAATCGTGCGGCTACGTTACGACAGAAAATATCGCGAAGTACACCAAGCTGGCGCCAATATTCCTATAGTCCGCCTGCACACGAATGCACGCGCGTGCACGTACGTCAAGTGCGCGTGTATTGGTAACGCATTGCTTATCGACATTTCCGCGTAAAAGTTACACGTGATACCGGCGATCGAATGTAAACTTTGCGCGGCAAAACGCTTTGCTTCGCGTTCGGGCAACGCAAATACGGATTTGACCGAATCGCTCGGTTCCTGATCGGAATTCCGCTATTTTTAAACGACGACTTAATGTCATGGTTTCTCCGCTCCGCTTTGCCACGCAAAAAAATGTCGCGAGTTCTCGTCTGCGTCTTACGAACATTGGCACGAAAAGACAGTGACGCGACTGTCCACCGTGCCTTTTTGCTCGTGCATTTCTGCGATACGTGGCCTCCTTTGGCGAACAAAGGACGGCAATCCGTTCACGGACGCGCAGTTCTTTTGCTTTTATATGAGGCTTTATAGTCTTAATAGAAATAAACTACATAGTCACTAGCCACTTAAGGAGCGTTCTTCGAATACTAGTTCGAAGTCGTGGCATGTCTCGCTTTCTGTTTTCACAGTAAGCAGAATAATCTCGCGTGCGAATAAAAAAAAAGTTGCTTCAGTTCTACGTAAGCATATATAATTTTTAAAATAAAAATTAACCCGTCAGAGAAATATATAAAATTTTAATTTGGCTATAAAAATTCCATCTATCTAATTTGTTCAAGGATCATCCAATCAATTGTACAAGACTTTTAAAGAAATGAATTTTCGAAAATTAATTCCTCTCGGACATATAAATATATCGGTTTTCTTCTATATTTCTCTTCCTTTTTTAAAGCGATAAGCGAAATAACGCTATCTTCGCTGTCACGACGCGGAACGTGCCCGATGTCACGTGGCGTTTGTTTACATGCGTTCGGGCCCACGTGGGCATAGGCGACTACGTCTCTCGTCTACGAGCGCGGCCAGAACTCGAAAGCGCGGGTCTGCACGATAAAACGCGGCCCGCGAGAGCGAAAGGGCGCGTCTTTCGTTCCAGAGAGCGGAAGGCGCCGGTCGTTTTATCGTACGAGCCGTCGGTAACGCAGGCCGCCTGAAATCGTATGGAAGAGCTCGAAATCATTCACAGATGTCATCAAGCTAATTGGCGTGGTCCCCGATCGTCATCGTCGGGAGTCAGGACGACCGCGTGGCGGCCGATCGGCACCCACGTGGATTCCGCGCGGATGCAACCGCGGTTGTCCGCCGGTTCCGGAGCGTGACGGCGATCACGCGCTCGCGGAGACGTACGAGCGACGTGGGTCTCGTCGCTTGTCGATCGCATACGTGTAACTTACGAGAACTTACCAAGGAGCACACGGAAAGTGTGTATATTAAATATATTTTTAATCGCGACAAATTCGATAAATTCATGGCCAATTGTTCCGAAGAGATAAGATCTTAGATAAAGATGAAAACTAGATTTAATTAGAAAGTGTTAGAAATGTAAGGAACATAATCTTAACATCGTATGGACATGTGCGGCTGCGTCGATCTTACTTTAATTTGCTATAGTTCTTAAATAAGGTTTAAATTAAAGTTTTTTGACTTCTCGGATTTTAATTGCTTCGATTAGTAGGAAGTTGCTAGCGTGAAATATCGAGAAATTATACTTGAAAGAAATATGATACGTTAATTAGAGCACTCAGCATTCCTTATTCTACGAAATAAAATATTGCCATTTCAAAGAACGGTATTTAAAAGAGACGGTGATTTAATTTTTTCAGAGAAAATTCAATTATTCTTATAACAAGCTTCTCTCTTTTAAAACTGATTTGGTTGGTCAAATAATTTAAATCTTTGAAATATAGACGTAAATTCACAAATTTACAATCTATATCCTCCTTTCAAATGAATGTCTGTCATTATAATTTTAGATTCACATATCTATATTTAATTAACATAGATATATATATCAAATCAAATTAATAAAATCCAATATTATCAATGTACATATAATAATCCGATGTAATCAAATTAATAAAAATCTTTAAAATTTCGTCAAAAAAGTAAAGAATTAAATATTATTATCCGTCCAAACAAATACATAAACAAATATAATATGTTTAACGTATTGTCTTTTCGAAAATATATTTTTCAATAAGTCGCATTTTTTTTCTTGAGCTCGATAAATATTTCATAGTTCCATATTGAAAGTTTTATGACAAATGCTTCATAGTTCCACGCGAGAAATGGCACTACAACGCAAATACATTACTTATATCGTTAATTGAATAAGCTAATTGACTGATAATGAACGGTTATATATAATCTATAAATTACATAACTTTAATGTTAACATTGACCATAGTCGCTAAAATCGCCGTCGTCATGGAATAAAACAATATAAATATGCTGGAGATATAAAAGTGCACAGTTCCATTTTAATTTATAAATATGTAGACTCGGCATTTTATGACACTGTTTACTATCATAATTGCTTATCCATCGTATTTAAAAGAGGCAAGGATAAATGCCATATATAAATATTAATGTCTATTAATAATTTTTGCTGACACATCAATCGTGTTAAATAATCACATGAAACTTGCTTTCTAATTAATTTTGCACACTTTTTCTCTTGACCAAAATTGATTTAATGTTATTTTCGTATTTAGAAACAAATTGAACTGTCAACGTTCATTTTATTAGCAATTAAATTAGCAAACTGTCGAAGCAAAGTTAACTTGAAATTAGTTGAAAGTTATACCATTTATCTGAAGTTTCATATATTAAACTATCTTATTGATTTTAACATTTAATTTGTATTTTGTTATTTTTTATAATTATTATTTATAATACGAGATTTTCTAAATTTATATACGCACGCGTGTTTGATATTATTGATTTTAAAATTTGTTTTTTTTTATTTTTATAATACCCGTATTAACTTTCAACTATTTTGCTATTTCACACGTCTTTTTTTATCAATATTTTATTTATATTTAATTTTTATGGAACAAAAAAATTTGAATCTCTTTCTATTATTATCTGTGCTATGCAGATAATAATCTCTGTGCAGATAAATAGATAATTTGTGCAATTATCTATTTTCAAATATTTTATTAAAACAATTTTATGTTCAGAGATGTACCTTGTCTCTGGACATTCTTTCTCTCTATTTTCTTTATATTTTCTCTCGATATTTTTGCGTCGTAACAATTGACCGCTAAGAGAACGGCGCGGTATAATCTACCATGGAATTAAGTATCGTCGTTTAAATTGCATCTTTCTGCCAAACCCGCGAAACGAAAATATCGCGATGCTCGACCTACTTTTCTAAGAAATACGAGCTACATAAGTAGAAGAGAGACGTGGATAGCGAAAGCACACATGTGAAACTTATCTTCTCTTGACTCGCGCAACGGAGAGAAGAATGACATTCCGTTCTGATTGCATAACGTCACAACGAAAGATCCCGTTTGTTGCACACATGACAAAATGTTTCATGGAGATAGATATTTTTATCTCTTATCGTTAAAAA